GCACGACCGCGGCAATCAAGCACTTGGTCGCGGTCAGGACTAAGCGACCGCGGCCGACAGTAGGTTTCCCGCGGTCAGAACACTTGCGACCGCGGGGGCTTATATCGCGGCCTCTTCTTGCTTCTCCTTGGTTCCTGCTGGGCCGAGCAGTCAGGTACCATCTTTCTTTTGGTTTTTTCTGGTTTTTTGATTTTTTGGCTTTTTTTGTTTTATAAGAAACACCTGAAACTAAGAAAAAGAAAAAGATCAAAAGAAAAAGAAAGAAGAATTCTAAAGAAAACAATACCTAAATGGGTTGCCTCCCATTAAGCGCTTTTGTTTTAAGTCGTTTAGCTCGACTTTTGGTGTTGGACGTGACTTATTCGAATGAAGAAGACCTTGTCCTGAGACAAGTCTTTTTCGACATCTCCTTGCTTTGCTTAGCAGGTTCTTCGTCTCTCCAAAGTTCTTCTTCAAACTCTTCAGTTGCAGAACGTTTTCCTGCTTTGCTGTTGTATGGGACAGCTTCTGTGAAGACATCTTTGTCGATATTAGCAAATGAAATCCTCCGGTTTGGCCAGTCCATTATAGCTCCAGAAGTTGCTAGAAAATACCATCCCAGAATCACTGGATATGTTGCATCTCTCGTTTCGACAATGTAGAAGTCGACAGGCACTATGCAATCTCCTATTCTCAAAGGAATTTCATGAGCTATTCCTTGAGGTGTTGCATTTGAATCGTCAGCTAAGCTAATCTTTGCTCTAGTCCTGCGCAGGTGTTTGATACCAAGTCTCAAAGCAATTGCCTTGGACATCATGTTAAGACAAGCTCCAGAATCACATAGCACGTTTTTAAACATTTCTCCTCTAATAGAACAAGAGATAAGAAACTGACCTACACCATCGATTTTGTGAAGTGTTCGAACAGGTTTACCTTTTCTTGCATGATTGAACAAGTCTTCTATTTCAGGGATTGATTCCTTGCTCTCACAGAAGTAGTGGCCTATCATAAAGTCCTTGCAAGCTCTGGCAAACGTGATTCCTTCAGGTAAATTTCGAACCACATCATTGAATTCATCGAGCTTCTCCTTGCTGATTTTGTTGGTGTAGTGGCTGCAGTCTTCCGGTAATTGGAGGTGGATTGAATAAACAGCAGCATCAGGTGATGTTCTGGGAAAAGTCAGACGTCTGGCCCTCCCAAAGTAGGTTCGAATATCATCCTTTGTCTCCTTGCTGTACCTAAAGAAAACTTGCAAACAACCAAGATGCCATATATCATCGAAACCTGTGTAAAGATGGATTGATTTCACAAACTTGTTGAATTCAATGAGCCTTTCTCTGGAGATTGGTGCTCTCAATTCCATCATTTTTTCTGGATTCCCTCCTTCTATGAACAGGCGATAGTCTTCATCTTCGAGGTAGTGCCCTTCATATTCATCCTCATATGCTAAGACAATGTTGCAAGGGACTACCTCGTTTTCTTCTTGAGATGTTTTGGAGTTGATAGCATACACCGTCTGCTCCTGAAAAGGGGTTTTGACAATCCCAGCAGATGTATCAAATGAGCATTGACCTGTAGGAGTTGAAAAGGGCTGAAGGGCATCTGAAGGAGTGCTGGCCGCGGGTAGAAGCTCCACGACCGCGGGTGAAGAGGGCTTTGCCGCGGTCAGGATGCTCACGACCGCGGCTGGAAGCTTGTTGGCCGCGGTCACGCGAGTTTCGACCGCGGGAATGGGGCTCCGAGTCGTTTCTTCAGTTTCGTCTGCTCCTCTGCCATCTGAACCGATTCCTGTACCTTCTAACTCCGTCTTCTCCTCCTTTAGGCTAAGATCTTCGATGAGAAGCATCGAACCATTCGTTTCACATCCTTGAATAAGCTTTTCGACCATCTTTTCGATTTCGGTGAGGGTATAGACTACTTCGTCCACAGTTGAGTCTATTGTCTCTACTTTCTCTTGAACCTTGTGTACTCCATCCTATGTGGAAGAGATTTGGTTGTTGTGGTAGTTAATAGTCTCTTCTGCTTCACCAAGTTTGATCTCTAAGGTGCGGATACTCCAACCGGCTTTGCGAATGCGAACTTCGTGTGCTCCAACTCGTTCTTCGATTGCTTTCATCCTCTCCTGGACGGTTTCAGCACCTTTGTTTAGCTGGATTTTGACGGTCTTGACTTGAGCTGAAAGATCTTCAAGCTTTCTCTTAAAGAGTATTGACAAGTCGTCAATTTTGGATCTTGCTTGAACGTCGAGTAAGTGCGAGACTGCCAATTCTAGTAGCTCCAATCGGTGAATAGGTTTGACATTTTCATTCTTGTGAGGCAGCCGACGAGCAGGTTGTTCAGGGTTGGCCATTTGAGGTGCGCAGGGTTCCTTCTGGGACGTTCTGTTGTCTTCGCTTTGAGTTTCTTCGTAGAGATCGCTTAGATGCTTCTCTCTGCGTCTGGTGGCTTGAGGAGTGTTATAGAAACCTTCCTCATTTTGTTTATTTCGATTTATAGGATCCATATCTTCTGAAATGGAAACAAAATAACCGAAAAATGAAAAATTGCAGAAAAGGGGGTTCTAGAGTCGATTTACTAACCTTTCTCAAGGTTTTGCAGAAAAGAAAACGTGTGCCTTCCCCGGCAACGGCGCCAAAAACTTGATGGTGGTGTGTTGTGGGTGTCAAGTTTTACCCTAATTGAAATCAATAGCCGCAAGTGCACAGCTGATCGATTGTAGTACTTAGGGATCGAATCCACAAGGAAGGAGGATCTTTTCCTGCAAAAAGCCTTTGAAATACGTTAAAGTAAGGAAGTCTAGAACAAAAACGGTTTTGTGGGGGTTTGGTAGTGTGTTTAAAATCTAAAAACGAAATCTTAAAAGAGAATACGGAAATTAAATGGCGTAATAACTAAACTTAACGAAAATAGCTAAAAATAATAAAAACGGATATTCTAATGCTTAAATGAAAATGAACTAAAAAGGAAAGACAATATTGAACTAAAGCTTGAAAGAAAATCGGTGTAAATCAATGGAGAAGAAAGCGTTGGGGTTCAGGGAAGTTTTCTTAGGGGTACGAACGATTCAAAACATTGCTAGAGAGGAAATTTTGTAAGATCTTAGCTTAAACTTTTCGAACTGGAGTCACGGACGTAAGAATACGGCACTGTCGTGATCATAGACAACTATCTCTCTCAACCCTGACCAGTAGGTTTCCACTCTGGCCCTGGAAGAGAAGAGATGTATTATGTTAAGACTCGTCCTAATTCACAAATCGCCCATAGGTAGGTTTCCACTCCTATGTTTGTTTTGCTCTCCTAAACTAGATCTGATACCTGATGAACACTTTCGTGTCACCAAGCATCTGGATCAGATTGTAGTTCATGACGCTACCCTCATGCAGTAAAAACGAATTCAGAAGAAAAAGTTCTAAGATTCAGCTCAATAGCCAATGGAATCCTCACCGAACATATAAATCCCCATCGAAAATCCCTTAATCCCAACAGTAAAACTACTCAGACATAATGATCGAAATTAAAGACATAATATTAAGAAGTAGAATAGATACCGAAATTGATAAAGAAAGAACAAGGGTTCAAGAGAACAAATCTCTCTCTCCCTAAAAGCTAAAGCAAAAACAATAAAAATATGAAGTAAATATTTCGGTGGTGATAGGTTGCACGATTATCTAGGGCTCCTAAGACATGTATTTATAGTGCTCAAGACCTCTCTGGTCGTCACTTAGGGTTTCTCCAAATGTGGGCTTCAGAAATGGGCTTTTTGGGCTCGGAGGTTGAAGGCCGTGGTCGGGAGTGCTCTGACCGCGGGGAATGGGTGGTTTGCCGCGGTCGGGATGCTCCTGACCGCGGGAAAATGCTTGTTGGCCGCGGGTGGAAGTGCTGGCCAGCTGGTTTACGGGACATCTTGCTCTTCGCGTATCTTTTGATTGAACCGTTGGATTGCCAAGCTGTAAAGTGCACTGGAAAGCTGATACTTCCATCTTTAAGGTCTCCAAATTTGAGCTGGGTCAGACGGTGAGAAGGCCTTCAATCAGGGGTGAACTTCTGACGGTTTGACTCTGAGCTGAAATCTGGTTTTCTATCCATTTTGTTAAGCTTTTCCCTAAGTTTCCTGAAAAGAGTCTTGGAACTACAAATACTAGAAAAACGTGATAAAAGTACTTAAAAGCAATTAAAAACATAGAAAAAGTATTTCAAAACGATCCATAAAAGTGGTCAAAATACGGTGTTATCACCCAATGGGGTTTCGAACGCAGTTCTATATGCCCAAAGAGCATCACCAAGCTTTGGTGACCAATCTTTTCTTGTTGGTCCTATTGTCTTTTCCAGAATTCTTTTGAGTTCTCTGTTTAATACCTCCACTTGGCCACTCGTCTGTGGGTGATAAGATGTAGCTACCTTATGTTTTACTCCATTTTTCTTCAAGAGATTCTCAAACACTTTGTTAATGAAGTGGGAACCACCATCACTGATGACGAGTCGCGGAACACCAAATCTTGGAAATATGATCGACTTGAACATCTTCATTACTACTTTTGCGTCATTTTTGGGGCTGGCTATGGCTTCTACCCACTTAGACACGTAGTCAACAGCAATAAGGATGTACTTGTTTCCAAAAGATGAAGGAAAAGGACCCATAAAGTCGATCTTCCAAACATCAAAAACTGCGACTTCTTGAATGAAGTTTTATGGCATCTCATGTCGCTTGCTGATGTTCCCTTGTCTTTGGCAAGCATCACACTTGGATATGAATATTTGGGCGTCCTTGAACATGGTATGCCACCAATAACCAGCTTGTAAAACCTTCGCTACAGTCTTATCAGTAGCAAAGTGTCCAACATAGTTAGATCCATGACAATGAAAAAGGATTTCTGGAACTTCTTCTTTAGAGATGCACCTGCGAAACAAGTTATCTGCACACTGCTTATAAATATATGGTTCATCCCAAAAGTATCTTCTTATATTCCGCAAGAACTTCTTTTTGTTGTAGCCGAAGAATCGTGGCGGTTCGACCTCTGCTGCTAGGTAATTCGCGATATGCATAAACCAGGAAGCTCGGAAGGTTTTGCTTTTGGAGGCGGGGCTGGACGTGTCTCTGGGGTGATTACTTTAGCATTACCATCTTTCTCCACGTCTCCAATAGGGTCTTGAGAGGTCGATGTCACGCTTGCACCAGGTGAGGTAGCTTTGCCCTTAGATTTCTTTGATTTGCGCTTAGACATCCTTGCTTTATGCTTTGATTTTCTCGACTCGACAACTCCCTTAGGCTCGACTAAATGGGCTTGTATAGAAACGTGTTGGCACCTTCCCTTGTTATCTCCAGGGTCTAGAATCAACTTCTCTTCCTTGTAGATGGTTATACAGTAAGAGCTTCCACCACTACAGACTGCAGGATAGAAGATTCTCTTTTTGACTTTAGAAAAACAAACTCTTCGGTTGGGATAATCAACAACTGCCCTCACTGATGCAAGGAATGAACTTTCAAATATTAACGCCCTGGGAGAGTCATTTTCCATCTCAAGAATGTGAAAATCAACAGGAACAAGACACCCTCCTACTTGCTCCATCAAATCCATTACGAAACCATACGGAATCGTGCTTGAATTGTCTCCAAACTTAACAGAACCGTGAGAAGGTTTGATGTCACGCATCCCCAGCTCGGTTGCAATTGCTTTAGACATCACATTCACATTTGCTCCTGTGTCACATAGAGAGTCCAGAAATTCCATACCTTCAATTATGCAGGGGAAGACAAACTTCACCGAATCATTTATCTTATGAAGCTTCCTTTGGTGTGGAACTTTTCCTATTACATCATACTCTTCAGGACATGCTGGAGATTCAACTTCAGTGTCCTGATTGCCAGGAATAGGCGTGACTTCTCTCTCACCATCAGTGTCTATGACATTGCAACGCCACATCGGATTGTCTATGGTTTTTCCCGGAAGATGACCATCTTGTCTCTTCACACTTTCTCCAATTTTTCCGATTTGTTTCTCGAGCATCTTGACATGAGTTGAGAGGTTAGTGAACTTCTGAAATGACTCCTCATTGTTCTTGTTGAGGTAATCATTCATGATGTCTAACTTAAGCTCGAGGTTGCGGGTGTCTTGGGCGATTTTTTCATGTACCTCAGCGATTCGTCTGTCGATAATTTCGGTGCTTTTTGAACTATCTATGGTTTGTGATAGCTGCACGTCCATGCTATCAACATGAGTGGAAAGAGCTTCAAATTTACCATTAAGGTCAGTGTATAGGCAGTCCACTCTTATATCCACATCGTCTTCTAATCTTTGCAGCTTTATAAGAAGTGGTTGCACCATAAGCTCGAGCTTGTTGTCTTGAGAGGTTGGAGATGATTTTGGAGCAGATTGGAGATTCATATGGGTTTGATCTTGTGTTCCAAGTTGATGATTGATCTCAGCTGCATTAACTGCTTCACAGACATTAACAGAACGCTGCTGATTTTGGAGAAACAATTTCACCATGGCTTTAAGTTCTTCAATCTCCTTATGATCATGGGAAGTAGAACGTGATGTTCTTCCTTGATCAGGACAATTGTTTCTGCTGCTTGCAGCAAGATTATTAATCAAGATGTAAGCTTCTTCCACAGTAAGTGTCATGAAGTTTCCATCGCTTGCTATATTTAGAGGTGCCTAAGATGTCCATTCAAGACCTTCGTAGAAAGTGTTCAAGATGTATGTCTCTGTAAAACCGTGGTGAGGACATTCTCTAATGTAGCCTTTATAACGATCCCAAGCTTCATGAAAAATTTCGCCTCCTTTTTGTTGGAACCTATAAATCTTGTCTCTAAAGAAGTTTGATCTAGAGGTGGTGTAGAAATGGTTAAGGAAGGCAGCCTTGCATTCGTCCCATGATTCGAGTGACCAGAAGACAAAGACTTGAACCAAGCACGCGCCTTATCACAAAGAGAAAATGGAAATAACTTGCACTTTATGTAATCTGCAGGAACTCCGATCGATTTCTTGGTGCTGCAGATTTCTTCAAAATCTTCAAGATGGTCCATAGGGTTCTCCGATGCATCGCCATGGAACTGGTTCTGCTTGACCAATTTTATGAGTTTCGGACTAATCTCATAGTCTACGTTGATGGGTTATAGACTAATGGGATAACGGTTCTCATAGAAAGCATACGGAGTGTTATAATCTTTTAGAGTTAAGCGAGGAGTGTTTTGGAACCTAACGTGCTCATCAACGTTTTTCTGGACGTGGTGGTTATCTTTAAGCCTATCTAAACCTTGCAAGTATCTATTGTTATCGTCCATCTCTAATTTTTGTGTTGTGTGTGTGTGTGTTTTTATTTTTTTACTATTTTTTATTATTTTTTATTATTTTTTTTTAATTATTAGTTAATTAATTAATTTTTATATATTTATATATTTCTTTTTTCATTTTTTTAGTTGTTTTTTTTAGTTTATATATGTATATCATTTTTTTCTTTTTTAAATTGTTAATATATATATATATATTTATATAAAGTAATAAATATATTTTTTTAGTTATATATATATATATAAATAGATTTCTTTTTTTTTCTTTTTCGTTTTTTATATTAATTTATATATATATATATATTTATATAAAATAATAAATTTTTTTTTTCAAAAATGAACAAGAGAAAGTACGTTAGACTCGATTCTGACCTGAAACTCGTAGGCAACGTTAAAGGTCCCCGGCAACGGCGCCAAAAACTTGATGTGCTCAGGTTTTAACCCTAGTTTTCTGCAAGCGCACAGATGTACGTTGTAGTACTTAGGAGTCGATCCACTGAAGACCAAGTAACTGCAATACGAGTTTACTTGAGATGAGAACTGAGCTAAGATGAAAATATGGGTGTTTGTTTGGGGGTTGTGAACAGTGACGAAAATAGCAAATACTCCCTCTATTCAGAATTATTTGATGTTTAAGGTTTTTGCACACAGTTTAAGGATTCATTTAATTTTTATTTTTTCTATACTAAAAATATTATTTATAACTTATTTAAATATCATTCAGCCAATAAGAAGACAATCTGTAGAATATTATAGGTCAAAAACTATAAAAATTCATTAAATTTTGCATTGAAAAATAAAAACATCAAATAATTCTGAACAAAAAAAACCTTCTAAAACATCAAATAATTCTGAACAGAGGGAGTAATAAACTTATAAACAAGTAAACAATAAGATAAAAACAATACGAGAAGGTGTTGGGCGTTAGAAAATTCGCCGGAAATCATAGACTAGCTAACAAGAGAATCAAACATAGAGTTTTCTATAGATGTGTTCCTGAAATCAAACTCAGACTAACCTACTCACGTAGTATTAATCACAAATAAATTCACTCAGATTTACTAAACTCCCATTCAGTTCTCTGAGTTTCTAGACAAATTAGTTTGATAATTTCACAAAACGCTTTAGATCGACTCACGCCGTCTAAGAAAATTTGTTCATCTAAATAGGATTAATCGATTCAACAACAGTTTCGGTGAGTAAATCAACCTAATCGCAGTAGCTAGATTATCGATCAAAGCCACATAAACGAAATGCAGATTTAGCCGAAGAACTCTAAAGATAAACCCTAATCTAACAAACCAGAAATCAATCCATGAATCCCTTTGAAAAATCCCTTAAAACCCAACAAGAGAATTACTCAATCATAGTGTATAAAAACATCACAGAAGTATTATAGTTTGCTGGAAATTAAATAAGAGAAAGGTAAAGAACGAGGTACGAGGATGAAGATGGAGATCGATGATGGCTCCTTCGGCAACTCCTTCTTCTCCCGAAGACGCCAACTCTGAGGTGTGCGGCTCTTCTCTGCTCTCTCTCCATGACTTTGTCATTAGAATGACCTAAAACGAGTATATATAGCCTTCTAATTCGTTGGAAGCGTCTAGGGTTTGAAGAATGAGTATTGGGCTGGACTTGGGCTTGAATTAGGTCACTTTCGGACGTCAACATTGTCTGGCCGCGGTCGCGGTGGTCCTGACCGCGGGGAATCATGGTCTGGCCGCGGTCGCAGCCTATGCTCTCCTTCGAGACTGCATTTTCTGTCTTTAGTGCATCGGGAATATCTGAAGATCTAACCGTTAGATTTTCTTCAAACCAATTGCATTAGAAAGCTGGTTGTCTCCTCTATGTTGTCTCAAATTGTGGAGATGATCAGACTGTGAGAAGCCTCCATCGAGTGCAATACTTCTGACGGTCTGTATTCAACCAAAATCGCTCATTTGTTCCAAATTGCACATCTTTAGTCCAAATTTCCTGAAAAGTCTTTTAAAACTCTAAAACATAGAAATCACTTAAAAACAATTGAAAACAGAGTTAAAGCACCTGCATAAAATATTAAAACGATCCATAAAAATGGTCAAAATTTGGTGTTATCAACACGGTTAAAAAATTTTTTATTTAATTTGATGTTTTTGTTGTTTTTTTTAATGATAGTAGATATCCGCATAAGAGGCTGTGTACGGGAAATAGAGTACTTCTTAAGGACTAGACGATGCTATGATCCATTTTGTTGTTACGGTTCTATATTGATCAGAATTCGGATATGTATATGTTTTCTACCCAGAGACAAGGTAAGACACCCAAAACCGGGGAAACCCTATTGAATAAATAGACTTGCACTCCACGCCAAATTAATATTTTAAACAATACCTGAAAGGGAAAAGAAGGGTGAGCATTTTGAAGATACTCAGTGAGGACGATCCTACCTGTCCACTTGATCTATACGAAGAATTAAACATAACCACATATATGTCTACTTAACCTAAGATTAGACAAACAACAATCATAAATATTTCACAAGTACACCGAAACCTAACACACAAGTTCCCACTCATGAGAATGTCACACTGTTTAAATCTGGTGACTCGTCAACCACAAATCTCACAGGCCCAACAGCCCTTGTACTGGCCATACTTCCTCTGTGTATGGTCCAGCCATGGTCCCACTTCGCGAAACGTCCTTCGTGAAGACCAGCAAGAAATCTGTCCATAGGCCGGGATCAATCATGCGCTCTAACGCGCCTAGACTAACACCAATCAACAATACATACAACAGTTCTCAAAGAATCATTCATGTTTGTTTTAATTATCAATCAATCTCTAATTCTAGTTTCAGCATACACATATACAACTATGTCTAAGACAACCTATAGATCCACAAGTCCCGCCTCACCTTTGCCACTTGATGAAGAACGAATATAGTTCACCTTCAGACAGATTTGATATCCAATATAAAAACGATCATAAATTTCTTGTCACATCTTGGAATGGATATCATAAGATTGATCTGTAAAGCTGGATTAAAGATCTTCACGCTGGTATGTAGATCGCCTTCTGAATCTTCCTAGATCGCCGGCAAAACGCTTCACAAGTCGGCTGCTCGCGGATCGGACCTTTGCAAATATGGTTCGGGAAAACACTCATAACTTTTAGAAGACAACTCCAAATAATGATCTATTTGCGGCTATAGCTAGATATGAGGGTAGAATACCAAGTTTTGTGCCGATCTGATCTGATTTGATCACCCGATTATCTCTCACGCCAGAACACGTCGGATCAGCCTTCTAGGTTGCTGCAATGGCTTCTCCTTCGAGCTGTTTTGATGGTGGCTGCTCATGCGTGACTCTGGAAGGGCCTTGCCGCTCTGATCTCTCTGTCTCCTCTCTGCCACGAGCTCCATTTATTTATAGAGTGGAAGAGAGAATTAGGTATGATCGTAGAAAGTCAGAATTGCCCTTAATCAGATTCTTGGGATGTCACACAAGTAGTGTTTTATACTCGGAGATTCCTTCTATATTTGTATGGGATCGAAAAATTAAGTCTTGGAGGCCAAGACTAAAAGAAACTCCTGGTGCATGTGTTGTAAAAAATCCCCGATAGAGCATGGAGAAGATTACTATCTTAGGGTTCTATTGGACGTAATAAGGGATTCATGTAACTTTGATGATATTAGGGGTGTTGCTGAAGTCCTTTATCCTTCTTTTAGAAGTGCATGTCGTGCATTAGGTTAAGCTGATTAATAATTAGGAGACAGATTTTATATATACATTTGGTTGTTGTTTGCATATCTATATTTGCAATGATGCACAAGAAACTTTAATATTATATATTTAATTTTGTTATGTATGTTACCAAATTCCGATCAATAAGTACGGGTCGCAAAGAACAAAAACTAAAAATACTACTAGAATTAAAGACTTATTAGAATACCATCGTTTAATTGTGTAATTGTAGCCCACATTCTCTCAACTTCAGGTAGGTTAGGATTTAGTAAAATCTAGGTACAATAGAATGCGGTTATCGCTGCCCAGCCATGCGCAAATCTGAAAAACTTGAAAATCTTATAACACAAAAATTGATTTTGTGTTCCTTTTGGGATGAATCGGTCATCAAATCCAACATGTAGTCGTTCCGTAATAACACTTGCAATCGAACGTCCTTGTTAGACATATAATAATCACACAATAGAGTATGAAATAATAATTGAAGTGATTGCACCTGAGAAACACATTTAATAAATGTACGATTCATTACAAAACTCCATATAAACATCACCCCATTTTTTTTTTACTATCAGAGGATATGTGGCGAAATGTTTCAATCACGGCGATGTGTCAAATTAAATGTATTATAAAGATTAGTTAGTCATTGAGAAAACATCTAAATATAAAAAAATGTATATTTTCATGTTACTATTAATTATTTGGGACAAAGCTATACCGATCAATAAGAATGGGTCGCGAAGGTGGTTATGTATGTTACCAAATTCCAAAACTCAGGTAGTTGTTGATATCAAAAAAGGGATCTTTAAAAAAGAAGTTTAAAAATTCCATATAATTTTATAATTGTGAAATGTCGGCCTGAAATCTCCAATGACAGGGACAACACCAAAACGATACAAAATAACCGAATCTCTTTGCTTCACTTCTGAGGTAAAACTGTCGATAAACTATTTTCTTAATGACCTATGTATTTTATCACACTAGAAAAACAAAAATATTTTTTTCAGACAAGTGATATGCACCAAACAGATAAAGCCACAAGAATAAT